CAGAGCTGATTACAGGGTTAAAAATAAACAAACAAATTCTAGCTAAGCTTATCCAACTATACAAATAATAAAATCCTTAGAATACTTTAACTCAAATACAAAAGAAAATTTTCAAGCAAAAACATAAATAACAATATAAATAATTCCCACTTTAAGCTTTAAGTTATTCAAAAACTAAATGATACTTTCTAATCCCATATTTATTCTGTATGAAATTTATCCATCTTCTCCACACCGAGATGTATCTTTCTTGTGAATGATCCTTCAAATAAGCAGAAATTTTAGCCATTTCTGCTAGATTAGAAACTTTAAGCAACCATTCTTCTATAGTAGGCAAAGAATCTTTCTTCCAATATTGCCCAACCAATAACCTTGCCGCTGTAATAAGATTCAACATTAAAATAGTTTCTTTAACATCACAATCTACAATAATACCTAACAAAAATAATTGTGGTGAAAACTTTATCTTTCTATTAAAAATCTTCTGAATGTTCCACCAAATCTTAATCCAAAAGGCTTTTATGTTTCTACATATGCACCAAATATGATAATAAGTTGCATCCATGCATCCACATCTCCAACACTTAGGCTGTAAATTGGGATACATGCGAGACAACTTTTGTGGATCCAAATGCCACCTATAAAACATTTTATAAAAATTTTCTTGTAAATTTTGAGCCTGAGTAAACTTCACATTCCCAACCCAAATTGCCTCCCATGTATCTAATAAAATCGGCTCTTGAAAATTTTGAGCCCATTTTATCATACAATCTTTGACTAATTCCGTCTCTGAATCCAATTCCACTTAAACATTATAAACTCTTTTTATATGAGCTCGATTTTGATCTCTAATTTGTTTTATCAAATTCTCATCTTCTAAAGTGAAACCAACCTTTTGGTCTAAACTCCATCTATCTAACAATTGCCTATACTGAAACCAAGAGTAAGTAATACTTTCTTGCCTTAATTCATCTAACGATTTTAGTTGCCAATCCTTCCCTTCCAATTTAAGCAGTTGATTATAAGAAATCCTATCCAACTTCACACCTCTCAATATCCCCTCTACTGCGTGTCCAGGAATCCCCCAAATTGGCATTTTATAATTTAATCTATAATAATTTTTCTTCCAGACACGCAATAGAGCATTTCTTAAAATGTAAGACTTAAAAGCCCTATCTACTTTCTTGTTGTAAATTAAATAAGCATGCCATCCATATAATAAATCCCATCCCTCCAAAGAAAGTATATCTTGATTTGTTAAATTAATCCAATCACTAATCAATGTTAAAGCCACAGCATCATAATACAATTTCAAATTAGACATCTTAAGTCCTCCTGTTTTATAGGTGGCATTTGGATCTCAAAAAGCTGTCTTATACGTATCCCAATTTACAGCCTAAATGCTGGAGATGTGGTAGCTTGGATGCAACCTATTTTCATATTTGGTGGACTTGTAGAAATATAAAAGCTTTTTGGATTTAAGATTTGGTGGAACATTCAAAAGATTTTTAAAAGAAAGATAAAGTTGGGTGTTATTGTAGATTGTGATGCTAAAGAAACTATTTTGATGTTGAATTTTATAACAGCTGCAAGATTATTAGTAGGGCAATATTGGAAGAAAGATTCTTTGCCTACTATAGAAGATTGGACGCTTAAGGTGTCAAATTTAGCAGAAATGGCAAAAATTTCTGCTTACTTGAAGGATCACTCACAAGAAAGATTTCGGTTTGGAGAAGATGGATAGATTATATTCAGAATAAATATGGGATTAAAAAGTTTCATTTAGCTTATGAGTAAACTTTAGAGTATTATTAATAGACTCTTTTTAAATTTTTATTAGTTTTAGTATGGTTTAACAATATTGATTTGTTTATATTACTATGTTTATTTTTAATTAGTTTATATTTACGTTATAAGGGAGTTAAAGTGCGTTACGGACTTGGTTACTTGTATAGTTGGGTAATGTTTTTTTTCTAGAGTTTGATTGTTAATTTGTAACCCTGTATTCAGCTCTGGGAAGTGGGGTGGGGGGGGTAGGGGGGGTGGGTCTTGGGATGTATATTGTATAAAACTTTTCAATAAAAAAACATTTTCGAGTTTTTCATTCTTTTTACAATGAACTGGAAACCACAATTGAAATTCTCTCAGCATCAAAAAATCTTTTTATTGATCCAGCCCCAGAGAATTGCTTCATCTCTGAATGTGACTGTTATATGTGTGTGGGTACAAGAATGGGTGAACAATGGCCTTGGGAAGCATGTGAAATAAATGTTACTGCCCTGACTAGTCAAAATCTCACTGTGAAAAGCCATCAATAGACCTAACATGTGGACTCTGACCACTTCCATAGTGGGAAGCCTGTTTTAAAAAGAGGTTCTGGTAAAAACCTTGGGGAGATTTAGGTGTGAACATCTCTTGTAGGTGAGCCCCTCAGTATCCTTTTGGTAGATTACCACTGATTCGGACTAACTCCAAACTCCCATGGCAAACATTCCCCAACTGTTTACCTTATAGGCCAATCTAACAGATGCCACCCTCAACTGAACTGCCCCAGGTGGACCTACTACTTGGCAAGAAGAGAGAATATAAGTTATAGGACTCTTGTTTATATGCTTAATAGAATTGTTAGACTGCAAACTGTATTAGAATTACAAATCAAGGGCATTTAGAATGACATAATGCTGTTTTGCTTCTTTATACTATGCTTGCGCAGGAACCTCCATTAGCCCAAGGCCAGAAGCACACGGAAAGATAAAGAAAATTAATTGGTTAAAATAACACTACAAAATTAAAGGGAAGTATGGCTTTCCTTTTACATGTTGCTACGTGTGTGTGTGTGTGTGTGTGTGTGTGTGTGTGTGTGTGTGTAGGAAATACACCCACCTTCTTTGGAAACCTGGACAGCTGCCATGGACACAAGCTGGTTTGGAGAGATCTTTGGTGATAGGCAAAGGGAAAATTTTCTGGTTATGTTAGCATTTAGAAGTTTTTTTGGTTTTGCCATCTTTGATTCCTGTTATCCAAAAACAGTTATTTCTACAATCTCAGGGATGAAGGTCATAGCATCCTCTCTAAGTAGGGGGTTTCCCTAAGCCAGCCAAGGTCCTGATTATCACCCCAATAACAAAGGAATATATGTCATTGGTCACCAAGTAACAGAAAGCATTCTGTTACAAAAATTAAAGGGGGAAATGAAGAGTTTTGGAACAAAGGGAAATTGTTTAGTCTGTTGCTTTCTTGCTTTTTGTAATCAGTTTTTGCACCAGAGAAATTTCATGCAAGCTTGGGAAACATGTACATGGATGGGATATACTGCAGGGGGGAATAAGGGAGTGTGCAGGAATGATTGACGTCTTTCTTATGATGTAATGGTTCTGTTATCTGATTTTCATTGGCTAACAAAGTTTATAAAGCAATGCTACCAACTTTTTAATTTGTGGCACTTCTGGACATAACTCTGCCAGGGTTCCAGATTGTTGGCCACCCAGCTGCTTAATTTGATCAAATAAAGTCCTGCTTGATCAAAAAGTCTCCGCTTGGGTTATCTGATTAGATTGATATGTTATCTCAAGTTCAAGTAAGGGACTGGGACCTTACACAGTCATTGTCCAGAATGGTATAATGTTAAGGTGACCAACCGTCCTCCTTTTGGGAGGACAGTCCTCCTTTTTTGAGTTCTGTCCTCCCTCAAAAAGTGTCCTCCTAAATGTCCTCCTTTTCCATATACCGTCCTCCTTTTGGGAGGACAGTCCTCCTTTTGGGAGTTCTGTCCTCCCTCGAAATGTCCTCCTAAATGTCCTCTTTTTCTATATTTGAAGACTTATCTGCAGGGCTTTTTTCCCCACATAGAACGCCAGAAGGCGTTCTGGGACCTTTTTTTGATGGTTTTTTTCAACTTTTGCCTGAGCTGTGCTACTCCCCTATTGGCTTTCGAAAGCCAATAGGAATTGCTGCTGAGCGCGCCAAAACACCCAGGCGGCAAACTTTGCACGTGCAAGTTGCAGGAACTTTGCACCCCTCCCTGCTACCCAACTACACAATCTCTTACTTAGTTCCGCAGATAGCTGGAGGAGACTGGAGCGGTAAGTTTCTCTTGATCTTCCCTATTCGGTTCTACACGGGGATGCACAGGGTAGGCGGGGGTGCTGGGGGGTGGCTGCAGGGCCGGAGCCAGCGTGGCTGGTGCTTTGCAAGACACGGGGCCAGCTCTATGGGGATGCGCAGGGTGGGCAGTGGTGCTGGGGGGCGGCTGGGGGGATAGCTGCAGGGCCGGAGCCGGAGCAGCTGGTGCTTTGCCTTTGCGAGCCGTGGGGCCGGCTCTACGGGGATTGGCAGGGTGGGCGGTGGTGCTGGGGGGCGGCTCAGGGCCGGAGCTGGCTCGGCTGGTGCTTTGTGAGCCACGGGGCCGGCTCTCTAAGGCAGGGCAGCGGTGCTGGTGGGGCGGCTGTGGGCGGGGGTGCGGCGGGCAGTTGAGCTTCCATAGGCCGCGCCAGCTGGTGGTCTACGCATTGCTGACCTGCGTTGCCACCACCTCACCCTGTGCATCTACGTGGCCATCCTGGAGCGCCTAGCTCACACCTGCCTCCGCCGCCCACTCCCGCGCAGTCCAGCCGTGTAGATTTTTGGACAAGTGAGAAATCGAGATTGAATGTTGATACTCTAGCTGCAGCACTTCAATATGAAGGATATTTCTTGTTCAGATATTTCCAATATATTGTTAGAAGATGATACATTGACAAAAAATATTAATTCAATGGAAACATACTCATTTAAATAATTAATAGGCATGTAAGCATAATTACAATATAAAATGTTATTGTTACAAATGTTTTTATTATGCATTGATCATATTATAATGTATTCTGTATTATTGTTGCAATAAATACAATGTTTCTTTTATTTACGATATTTTTTTCTTCAATTTATTCGTGTCCTCCTTTTTGTTGTAAAAAAGTTGGTCACCTTAATAATGTCTACTACTTAAGCAGGGGGTTGGACTAGAAGGCCTCCAAGGTTCCTTCCAATTCTGTAATTCTGTTATTCATCCATATTGCTAGCAGCTCATTTGCAAGAATAATTCTCCCTTCAATTTTATCTTTCCATGCAGGAAAATCAGCTGAAAGCATGTTGTCTTAGTGAACTTGGAAGTCTGGCATTGCTAGCCTTGGATAAATTGAGGAGTGGTATGAACCGGCCAAAAACGTCGACAATATGGGGGCGGGAGACCGTTGTATCTCACAGGATGGAGGCAGCCTCAGGGACCTTGGGCCCAGCTGTTTCAGAGAGCGATGGTGAGATCTTTTAGAATCAGACCAGGGAAAAGTCATGCACGCACCTATAAATCATCACCCTTCTTGGCGCCTAAAGCAGTAAGTGTATTGTTTTCGATCAGACTGCGCGTGGGATTTCATACTTCAATTTGTGCTTTTGAACACACTGACATTTTACAGGCAGAATTGAATTTCTATATGATATGGAATATTAGAAAATATGGCTTCCCCCGTAGTCTAAAGCGTTACGGTCCAGACGCAGGCGACTCCTTTCCAAATAAAAACAAACTATTTTTTTTTCATCGAACTTCGCATCTTGAAAAGTCATCCAAAGACCAATTTAAAGGAAGCAACAATTGATCTGGCGGAAGACGACTGGGAAAACAAGGCGAAGGGAGAGAGGGTGACTCGAAAGAAAAACGTCTCCCCCCAGCTGTACCATTTCCCTTTTAAAGCTCCTCCCCTGCTCATTTCGCAGGGCTTTGATAGATTGAGCTGCAGTTGATGCGTTGGAAGCTTTTGGGAAGGTGCTGTTAAGGGCTTCCTCCCAGGCAGATCGCAGCGAAAGAGAGGCTCTCTCTTGGCAGAAGGTGGGCCTAAAATGAAGGCGCCACTTCCTGTCTGAAAATGAATGAGTCCGCGGGGAAGGAGGTAGTTCCCCTCTTGATCAATTCTTCTGAACAGTTGATCCAGGAGAAAACCCAGGTCTTTTTCTACCCAGGCGACAAATAGAACGATTTGCAGAGAGAACCAGCTTTATTCTGAACAACCTGCTACACCTTGAAGTTGCCTTTGCTGCGCGATCCTCATTCCAGACTGGGCGATCACGGGGTGCTTGAGCTGATCTCCATTGCTTCCCCACCCCCTTCGTCTGTCTCGCGCTTTCTGTCTTGCAAGATCCGGATTGTTCCTGATCTCTGCGGTGAATCTGGAATGGTTTCAGAGGGTGAGTGTGCATTTTAAAATCGCAACCCAATCAGGATTTAATACCGACTAACAAGGAAAAGGGCTTAAACGGAATCAAGCAAAGATTTTTCTGCTGCTGAATCACCCATCAACACCATGGGAAACATTTCATCCAATATCTCTGCCTTTCAGTCTCTGCACATTGTCATGCTAGGTCTGGATTCTGCAGGCAAAACCACGGTGCTCTACAGGCTTAAATTCAACGAATTTGTCAACACTGTGCCTACCATTGGCTTCAACACTGAAAAAATCAAGCTAAGCAATGGAACTGCAAAGGGCATCAGCTGCCATTTTTGGGATGTAGGTGGGCAAGAGAAATTGAGGCCCCTCTGGAAATCCTATAGTCGTTGCACTGATGGCATCATTTATGTGGTGGACTCTGTTGACGTGGACAGGCTAGAAGAAGCCAAAACAGAGCTACATAAAGTCACCAAGTTTGCAGAGAATCAAGGCACTCCCTTGTTAGTGATTGCCAACAAGCAAGACCTGCCAAAATCTTTGCCTGTGGCAGAAATAGAAAAACAGTTGGCTCTGCATGAACTAACTCCATCCACCACTTACCATATCCAACCAGCCTGTGCAATCATTGGGGAGGGACTCACAGAAGGTATGGACAGACTCTATGAGATGATTCTCAAGCGCAGAAAATCCTTAAAGCAGAAAAGGAAACGATAGGCAAGAAGGAACTGCATTCCATTAGATCATAGTCTGACTTGCTGGCTTGAACTATTAGTTAAAAACAGCAGTCAGAAGTTGGTGTTTATATTATTTTCCTTAGTATCACAGAGTCCTTCAAATATGCTTATTTTTTACAAGTTCAGATGATAACCCATTTGAGATGCTGGCTATCATTTGAGATGCTGATCAGATCTATGGCATGCCAGCCTATCACTTCCATCATGCTCTCTGGCCCCATGAGCCAGTGGGATAAGAGAGGGCTTCATAATATTCTAGCAGGACTAGAAGGCAGGCAAGCAGAACCTTGCCCTATGAGTTGCTTCTGACTTTGTGAACTACTAATATGCAAGAGGCTCCCTTCGTTCTCTGGACAATTCCTGTTTTTTTTTTTTAATGTATAACGGGAGAAACTACATTAGGAAAGAAAAATCATAGAGCTTGATATTTCAGGGCAGGTCCCTGTTCCATTCGGATTAAGATTTGTGTTGCCATCTCAGGATGTTACTACATGGTGATGTGTGCATGAAGATCTAGATTTTGCTAATGGGAAAATGCTGTGATTAAGGGGAAATGTGCATTAAAAATACAGCTTTGATATATATCTTATGAATGGCTCTTTGAGCCACTGGTGGAAAACTATTTCACAGCCTTACAACAAACTTACCAAGGTGTTTATGATCTGTTGTTGTGTGTGGCTATTACAAGATCAGCAAATATGAAATCGCTGAACAAATGAGGCTGGGCTACTTCCTGGAGTAAATTTTATGTGTTTGGAGGGAAGTAACCTGTGTCCCCTGTCATTTCAGTTCAGTATAAGAATATACATAGGGGGTGGGCTATTTTTCCTCTTTTTTTTTTATATTGTATTTTGGATGGGGTTTTTAAAATTGGGTAAAGAGGCCTGTGTGTGTTATCCATGTATGCCTATATTCAAAAACTGTAAGTTGGTGGTGTACTGATGCACTTGAATTAAAAAACTTGAGCTGCTTGGATCATTTGTGACCAGTAGCTACCTCTTGGTGCTGCTTTATTACATTAGAAAATGTTATCTTTTCATAAGTCTACACACTGTAGCAATAACCACTTAAATTACTTTTAAAAAAATACCATGTCCATGTTGTAATATTGAACTGTGGCCATATTGTGTTTCTAACATTTAATTTAATCAGACAATTTGACTCATAATTCAATTTATTACTGTATAATTAGATGGCTTTCATAATCCAAAAGATTGCAACTGTGAAAAGCAGTGAAGGAAGACTCAGATTTGGCTGATTTGGTATAGAAAGTACAAAAAAAGGCATAGAACCAAAAGGATAATCTGAACTTTCTGCCCTAGAAAAATCCTCAGTCTAATAAATTAACCTTCCTTCCTGTTTAAGTTCATGTTTCACTGTTGTGATTGTCAAGAATATAGTAAGAGAAGCACAACACAACGTTAATTTTAAAATTACAGGAAAATTGGTATTTATAAATACAGTAATAATGCAATCTGTACATGTCTACCCAATTGAATTATATCCAGCTACTTATTTATATACATTTATTAGGAATTAGCCGTTTGTATAACCTCATTTATAGTATTTATTTCTGAATAAGGATGCATAGATCAAACTCTAAGGTTAAAATCCTACCAGTAGTATGTAGGAGCAAGACCTTATTGAGCATGGATTTAGTTTTAATTGAGTCAATAATATTAACTTCCTTGGGAAAAAACCCATATCTAAATCAAGGATACAGAATTGTACAGTGATATGATATCCCAAAAGTTAAAAAAAAAAAAGCTTGACAAGTTTAATTCTTCAACTAATTTTAAAGTTTCAATCTCATATTTTAGAGTTATATCCATGATTCAGTTTCTAGGACATGGATTAGCCACTTTCTGATGAAATTATGTGAGTTTTAGAAAGAGGAACAGAAAAATGTAAGCTTACCAGTATGACAACAAATTCCAGACAGTTGATTTTTTTCCCATTAGCAGTGGAGATTTTCTGTTAGTTGTTTTAGGCAACTCTTTTTTAAGAACGCAAGGACCTCTCTCCTCTTCCAGCTGTATTATACTAGATTATTATCAGAAATCAGAGCTGCTGCTACTTTTTTCTCTGCATTTTTATGTTTAAGAAAGCTTTGGTTATTGAATATTTGTTTGTCATGCAGCTATGAAAGGTACAGGAGCCCTGCCATGATACTGGCATCTGCTGCAATTCAATTTCTATACATGCTTGTGGAATTTATTTACATGAATGGAGACTTGTTCACTAATCCCCAGACTGGGCTGTTCCTATTGTTTAAAGCATTGCTTTTTAAGTGGTTATTTTCTTCCACTTACTACTCTCTCAAGCATGTTTGTTACCTCATACCTGAAAAAGGAGAAAGAATATATTCAATATTAAAGCCAAATGCTGTCATTTTTACAATATGGTTTAGGAATTAATTGCTGTTCATAATCAAATTGTATCAGAAGATATCTGGTTTTGGATTCTTTTTCATTCACAAAATGTATTTCTTGCAAATATTAAAAAAAATGAAATTTATTTTGCTTTGGCAGATCAAGTTGTACAGGTGTTGAATTACTGCAGTTAGACCTTGTCAGCCATACTAGGTATTAAATATACCAGTCTCTCTAGTGGATTATTGAACATTTTGAGTTACAATTGAAAACTCTGCCATGCATATTATTTTTAAAGTCAGACTTTCTTGTATTGTCTGCTGGGTTCAAAAGCAATTCTGGCTAGTATCTTTATGAATTATCTGAGCAAAAGAATACCTAAAGATATATGATGGTTTAAAATGTTGCTTTTAATGTATTGCGTAAGCCTCATCTAAGGCAGATTCATCCTAGTTTAAATATTCTTCAATATTTGTGGAGAATATTATCAAATACTACTAGTCTCATTTTCTTCATGATGCACCAATTAAAGTATTCTAGCAAAATATTTCTGAATAGTGTTGTTTTCATTCTACAGTATTTTGCCTGGTCTATCATCTTGTTTTTGTAATGCATACAGGAAGCTGCAAATCCAAAATCATTTAATGAACTAAAAGCATTGGACTACAACAAGAGAAAAATTCCTTAACATGAATAGCTTTTCGGTCTAGCCTTCTCCCTCCAAGGTTTCTGAAGATAAACTTCAGTTTTGGGTTTGTATACTAAAAACTAAGCCAAATCAAACCACATTAGTATGCAATGTGAATACCGTCAAAGAAAAATACTCACTGTGAATTATTTGTGAAATGTTTGACTATTCAGCTTTTAAAATTGCTGAAAGTTTGTAGACCTTTACAGAAAACTACACTTCAGTTAAGTCTAAGCATTAATTTAAAATATGACTAGCATTGAAGGTCTAATAGCACTTTCCATATGAATAATGCTATTTTCAAAAAAGAAAAAAGAATATTTTGAATTTTTAGGGAATAGAAGATAGTTTTACTCTTTTTCAAATTAAAGTTATATGACCAAATTGTTTAAAAAAATGCTTCCTAAATTTATATTTACAGATACAATCTTATATTGAGACTGATTTTTGATGTCCTAGTCCAGACATGTCAAGGCCCGGGAGCCGGATGCGGCCCCCGAAGTGGTTTCATGTGGCCTGCGAAGCCATCCTGGAAAAAGTGAGGGAACAGCCCCCTCTGCCTTGGCCCTGGCCCAGGCCGGCCGGGAGCCAATGTACAATTTTGTGGTGGCACCATCATTCAGAGCCCCCCCCCCCCCCGCATGCCCTGAGAGGAACAGTGAGGCTTCTCAGTGGACCATGCCTTGGCACTTGCCCTGGTCCCACCCCCTTTTTCCAGAGACCCTCAGATCTGTCCCACTCCTGCCCAGGCCCCCACAGGCCCCCTTGACGCGAACGATGTAGAGCTGGCCACGCCCACCCAGTAAGCCACCCCCCCCGAGGGCAACCACAATGCTTATGCGGCCCTCAATGAAATTGAGTTTGACACCTTTATCCTAGTCCAATTTACAATCTTGGGATTTCCTGCTACATCCTATTCAAATAATATCTTGAGTTCAGCCAAGATTGGTTCTCCATCCTTCTAGTTAAGTGTATCATTTAATATCTAGATTCCCTATAGGGAAATTTGCACAGATGCAGTCTGAAGTTCATGCACTGGTATAATTTGTGTGTGTGTGTGTGTGTGTGTGTGTGTGTGTATGTATATGGAGTCCTTCAAGCTCTCAGCTTGTTTTCTTGCAGATGTTTCATTATCAAACTAGGTAACATATTCAGTGCTAGAAGCATATGGGATTTGCTCTTATTTTATATACTAGTGGTTTGCCTTATCAGTGTTGGTAGGAATGTTCTTGGTGGTTCCTTGATTAGGCTGCTGTTTACTGCTAGCTTGTTTGAATGAGTTGGTAATTCCTTGATTGGGGTATTGTTTGATTATTGGTATAAAATTAATCTTTGTGTTAATCTCTGCTCGTCTGGGTCTTGATTGCTGGTGAGGAGATGTTTTGGTTTTTTTGTTTCTTTTGGCTTTTTGATTGTCTCAGATGTGGTATATAGATGTTGTTTATCTCTGTATGTCTGTTGATGGCTGATTTGTCTGAATGCTAGGCATCTAGGAGTTCTCTAGTGTTTTTGGACTTGGCTTGGTTTAGAATGCTCACAGTTTCTCAGTTGATTGAGAATTCCTGGAAGCCTGGCTTGATGTTACCTAGTTGGGTACTGAAATGTCTGCAAGAAAACATCTAAATTCACAGAGCACCAAGGAGAGCAGCAAGGACCCCAAAGGCCCCTAAGCTACAAATATTCTCTTCCATTGGTATAGATGTATATATGTTTAAGAGATGTGTATTTCTGCATACAATACACTGTTCTAACACATAGGATTTTAGACAAATATAATTAGAAATAAAATTCATGTTAAAACTGGATTAATTTATGATTATCTTTTTATTAGATGCAACCTAAATATTGGGGTCCATCCTAGTTTCAAATGTTTTTAATATTTAATATATCTTCTTCAGGCCATATACTTTATTTTTGAAAGTAATCCAAGAGAAAAATAAATATTGAAATTTATATTTGTGACAAATGCTCGTTTACAATATATTTTACTGCTAGAAAGAATTCTTTATCGGGTTTTTTCCAAGCCAGGAATAAAATAACCCAGGTTGCTGCTTATATCAGAGGTGAAGTTTATTGTGAGAGCATAATACATAAAAGTCAGTTGTCAAAGGTGGCCATGATTTGAATTTCTCTCAATAGTCCCTCATATAATAATGTAATGCCTTTGTCTTTTATTTTGTTGGGAAAGATGTGTACAGTAGTACTTCCCACAGTATCCCCATAGGAGTCTTAGGATTCTTCCTATTCTTACCCATAGGAAGAAACATACCTCTGGGAATTTTTCTTAACTGTGAGTGCTTTTATATTGGCAAAACCATTGAGTCAGCAGTGGTTCAGAAGACAAAGACTTCAAGGTCTGAAATAAACTTGGATTAATAATGGGAATGAGTAATTCAATGATTATAAAATATCTTCCATAGGAGTGTAGAATGGGCTTTAAGCTTTTGTTTTGTTTTTCAATTGAGAACATTTTGCATCTTGCTCTTCCTTAAAAGAAATTCAGAGGAACTTACGTTAGTTCTTAGGCCAAAATCTGCTTTGCTTTGGTAATAGATGGGATGTTACTTAATATTGTCCTGTTTCCTAGAAATTCCCTAGGCTCTATTGGTATGTTTATTATTATAGTCCATTTTTCACTTCTCCTTTTCTCCTAGTTAAACCATACTAACCTGCTCCTCAAATAAATTTGTCAGGATTTAGTATTTTTGATGCCAAATTTCAGCTTTTTCCTTTGCAAATGAAAAAAGGAAGACTGAGGCCCGGTCTATACAATTACTTTGTCATGCTCCCCTTCCATTTCAGAGTTAGCAAGAAATCATGCCCCATTACATTTGCATCTTTACACCCACCCTTAACTCACTCCTAACAGGCACTTCTGATATACAGTTTTAAGGAGCACCATTATAAAGGCAATTACTGATGGTTTCCTTGGCTGAAATTCTAGTATTGCCCAATATCAACAAATACATGAAAAGCCACTTCCAACTGGCATGATTACAGGTAGTCCTTGACTTACAACCACAATTGAGCCCAAAATTTCTGTTCCTAAGCAAGACAGTTGTTAAGTGAGTTTTGCCCCATTTTATGACCTTTCTTGCTATAGTTGTTAAGTAAGTCATTGCAGTTGTTAGACTAGTAACATGGTTGTTAATCTGAATCTGGCTTCCCCATTGACTTTGTTTGTCAGAAGGGTGCTAGCACCCGAATTCTGAACTTTGATTATGGGGATGCTACAACATTTATGAGTGTGAAAAGAGGACATACAGTATGTCCCTTTTTTCAGTGCTGTTGTAACTTTGATCAGTCAATAAACGGTTGTAAGTCAAGGACTATCTGTAATGTAGTTTTTTTCTATTTGTACTGTTTGATTCTTTTTTTCTTCAAAAAAGTCCTTGAACTACTATGTAGATCAACCAGATGACCAATCAACCACTAGAGTTGGATTTTTAAAATATTGACTGTCCTCTATCGGTTATCTGACTCACATTATCAATGAGATGGGTTGCATATACATTTAATAAATACATAGTCTGGATTTTGTACCAACTCTGGAGAGCCAGTTTGGTGCAGTTAGTGAAAGTGATGGCTAGAAATGAAGAGACTTTGACCCAGCATGAAAGGCAGCTGGATGCTTTGGGCTAATCATTTTCTCTTGGCTCAACTGGCCTCATAGTTTTGTTGTGGGGAAAAAAATAGGAAACAGAAGAATTAAGTATGTTCATCAGCTTGAAAAATTAGAGTATCATGCAAAAGTTCATTTATTTCAGTAATGCAACTTAAAAGGTGAACCTAATATATGAGATATACTCATTACATGCAAAGCAAGATAGTTCAAGCTGTGATATGTCATAAATGAGATGATTATGGCTTACAGCTCATGAAAACCCAAAATCCACAATCTCAGAAAATTAGAATATTGTGAAAAGGTTCAATATTCTAGGCTCAAAGTGTCCCACTCTAATCATGTTGGAATATTCATGAGCAGGAAGAGTCATGTGGTAACTCAGTCAGCCAATGTGAAGAAAGTGCTACTGAGTCTGTGCAAAAAGAGTATTGAGTTAGGAGCTGGATTTCCAGTCTCAAGGTTTTGTCTCTGGTCTGTCTCTGTAAGAAGTCTTCATTAAGCTATGTTGCTGTAAAGAAGAATGGTATTGTAAATATTTTTATATAAATATAAAGTTATTTGAATCAGCTAAATGCAGTCAACTGTGAGAGCTTCTGATTTATTTTTCACCAATAGAGAAATTAAAATTCTCTAACAGGTTATGGGCCCAGAGCTTACTAAGGACTGCATTGTAATTTAAAGCTGGAAGAAATTGCCTGTGTTTAGAAAGTATAAGAACAAGGCAGAATTAGCAGAATGGCTGCAATGGAATTTAAGGAAAGCTGTGTGCCTCGTTTAGGCCAGAAGAATTACATTGTGTGGGCTGCAAAAATGGAATGTTTGCTGAAAGCAAAAGAGCTGTGGTATATTGTTGAAAATCCACCACAATTATTTTCAGCTGCAGATCAGAAAAGCCATGATCAAGCTATGGCTTATCTCATCTTGAATTTAGATGATGCACAATTTCTAAATGTTGCAAATTTAAAGACTGCAAAGGAGATTTGGTTGAAATTGAGAGCTGTGCACGTGAATGTTTCTGCATGCAATATAGTGCAATTGTCAAGAAAACTTTACAGGGCCTGTTTGCAACCAGGTGAATCTGTGGAACAATATTTAAATAAAATGCAAAGTTTATTTTTGGACTTAGAACAACATGGGATTAAATTCCCTGAGTCCCAGAAGGTTTTATTGGTGTTGAACAGTTTAGATAAAACCTGGGACACAGTTTTGCAATATTTGAATGCAAAGAAGAGCA